AAGGCGGTGATGACGGAGATCATCTGCGATTGCGGCAACACCAAATACTGATAACATAACATTATATGTATATTTTTAATGTTCATGCAATATATTCCGAGTTATCCACTTTATTCTGGCGCGCGAATTAATAGGATACAATTTTAAACATGTTTTTGAACGCCGCGAATTAAAAGGATACATTTAAAAATTAGCGTTCGAAAATAAAATGGGTGCGCGAACTAATAGAGACCGTGAATTAATCAAGTTTTTACGGTATCATACAAGGTGGAATTATTCAATAAAGATAAGAATCAATCAAAGACAGCTTAGAAAGAACTCCTGTGTGCTGAGAGTATTGGAGACATGAAGTACAAATAAGGAATACTGTATTTACTATAATATATTTACAGTTAGCACATGTGCTTCTATTAGAGCAAATACAGCATTTAAATACAACTGCAAGCGATGATTAGGGTGATTCCAAGTAGCTATGGTTTAACAATTATAATTATTATTGATATTTTGGTCATACGCCTTGTCAGAAAACAGAATTAAAGCACCGGTCTGCAACAGTCCTTAAGATATTACAGTTATGCATATTATTGAGGTCACATGACCTTATATAGTCACCTGATACATTAGACATATTACATTAAAAAGGGTCCATGGCTCAACCAAAAACAAATCAGGTTTACACATTATCCCAGAACATTTATGTACCATGTTTCATTAAAATATGATGAATGGTACTTGAGAAACAAGAGCAAATGCCTAAAATTTGCTAATTAATAATATGCAAATTAGGGTATTATTATGCATTGATTTAAAAAAACAATCAGGTCTGCACATTCTCTGAGAGCATCTATCTATCAAGATTCACTGAAATCTGATAATTGGTTCTTTAGATAACTACAAAGATTCCGCACACGGGAGTCAAAAATGAATTATTCACGAATATGTAGCCATATTGCATTATTTCAAAAAGATAAGTAGTCACACTGTATTATTTCACAAAGATAAGTAGTCACACTGTATTATTTCACAAAGATAAGTAGTCACACTGTATTATTTCACAAAGATAAGTAGTCACACTGTATTATTTCACAAAGATAAGTAGGCATGCTACACTACTGAACACAAATCACACATCAATCTATCTACTCCTATAAAATGAACAAATAAAAATTCTAACCTCTGCTAAAATATCATCAAACTGGTCAAGAATAGATTCATGAAGTTTATCTGACATCTCAGCTAACTTGGCTTTATCAGGTTTTATCTCATCAAGACCTTCTTTGAATTCCTTGACTAACAAAGCATCCTCTTCTTCCTCAGTTTCTATTGACGCTTCTTCCTCGTCATCTTCACCATCCTCTTTTTGCTCAACCTCTTTTTCAACTTTTTTGTCATCTTTTTTGTCATCCTCCTCTAGCTTCAGAAATTCTGTTGATATAGTCACTGCTAAGGTATCTTCAGCTGGTGGTTTTCTGTGGCACAAATGAGAAGAAAAGTAATGCAAGGCAAAAACTTTACTCAGATTGAACACTAAAATAGAGAGTAAAGTTACATTCTAACAGAAAGATGAGATTTACTAGTTTCCTTGTTTTACTAGAAAGGTATTCTTTTAAGAGTGATGTTGTTCTCACATGATTCAAGTGGAAACTTTCCTCTCACTATTTAAAAATGGTACATTTTTAACAGCAGCAACCCCTGGATTTGAACTTATCACTCTACTGAATGAAATATTTGTGGTTGAATAGTTTACTATGTTACGTACTTGAATTGCATGTATGTATGGGGGTCTAAAAACTAACTCTGCGACGCGATTGTGCGACTCGCCAAATGTCGATTGTTGCACTCTGCGACAGGATCGCAGTGTCACTCTGCGAAGAGCACGATTCCTATTGGTTGGTTGGTCGAAAAGCGCGAATCCCAATGGTCGATGTCCACCGCAGACATTATAAAAAATTAAGTTTTAAATTGTAAAAAAAGTACGGTAAAAAAAAGTGTGTAAACACTATGTACCGGCGACATGCCGCACTGTTCGTTGATCGGCAAGCACATGGAAGACAAATTGTGGGACCAAACAAATGACACATGGTTTACGGTTTTTAGACACATCACACCGCTGGCTAAAAAAATTAAATAGTGTAACGTGCACGTTGGTTTTGACTGCCTATTTAATACGGTGTTACGTTATCGCCATCTTGGAGTTGTAGGCTTCGTCCCGACGACTATGCTCATTAAGCATAGGCGGCAGTTTCAAAGCGAGTGGAACGCGAAGTACTTTTCACGCGTTCTGCAACGAATGTTGTACGTCTTCTTTGACTTTGTTGAGTGCATCAAGGGAAATAACTTGCATGCAGTGAAAAATAAATCATTCACGACGTGCAACGTTTGCCATGACAGCAGTTGTTTGCAATCCTCTGCCTTCGTTTAGATCATAAACGGACTCAAGACTTGTGGTCTACGATCGATCAGCTGGTATTTTAACCACCAGAAATGAAATACTTTGTAACAGTTGTGAAAAGTAAACAAAAACGGCGTTGGTATGAATGTAATTATTTTTGTATCATAATTTTTGAAGTCAGTATTACTGAAAATTATGGTTTATTTTTTTAAATCAACGCCAAATTTCGGTGGTCCATATTGATCTTAATGTAGCGGGAGGGGAAATTCTTTCTTTTCCAATAATTTTCCAATAATTGATAAAACGGTTACTTTGTACCTTGATTCATCATCCTAGCTTTTCGAAATTTCGGAAAGACCAGTGCTCAAACGCTAACACTACTACCGTTTCGTTAATATTTGCATAATGTTTATACATGTACCATGTATATGTATACTACCGGTAATACTCTGTTGTTGACGATTCTGATAGAACGGGTGACAAGCTTCCTGTCGCAAACAATGCATATTTATCTAACGTCCATTGTCAGCATTGTTACAGTCAAGACTTCGTCTGAGAAATCGTTTTATTTTCTAAGTCTATATTCTATTTTAATAACACCATCTTACTAACGCAATGGCGATAAAAAAGAAAGCGAAGACGCCAATGACAGACGAGGCAAAGACAAATCTGCAAGTCAGGGTCATATTTACTAATTTAGACTTGCCTGCAGCCTGTTGTGATTCGGATGCAACATTACAGGACTTTCGCGTTCACCCCTTGTTTATGCAATTTATATTTATTTTTTAAGAATTTTTCATCGGAATCGCAACAGATAGCAAGCACGTCTAGGTCATATTATGACCAACCTCGCGAGTGGTTCGAAAGGGACGATTAGGCTGAAATATTCGCATCAACGCGAGAGTTTCAACTACTTAACCGATGACGACACCGATACGTGAGGCCGGTGATCAGACGAGGAACTGAGTACAGGAAATCTGTTGCTCGTCGACATCGGACAAATAAACAAAGCCATTGTTTCCGTTTATGCAGTAGCGTGCACCCATCTAATTTTCCGTTGACACTGCCGTTTTACTAGTAGTTTTCCATCTTCAGCAGTAGTTTCAATTCATTCATACAGCTTTACGTTTTTTCTCTCTTAATATTCTTAATAAAACGATATTGATCGCCTAGAAACAGTTTGTCGGGGCGAGATGCAAATCATAGGTGTGTTTGTTGATTAAGTTTGAATTGTCTAGTTAGACTTCAAAATGTTTTCTATAATTAATATTCAATTCGCTGTATTATTTCTGTTCAGCAATAGCTTTGATGTTTAGTTTAGATTATTCGTATTCCTATTATATCATACATTGTATTTGACCTATGACGTTATTACCGC